AAGCAATATATGTATGTTTTGACTATTATCATGTGTTTAATGATTGTTAATTAGGCAAGCAATATATGTATGTTTTGACTGTTACCATGTGTTTAATGATTGTTAATTATGCAAGCAATATATGTATGTTTTGACTATTATCATGTGTTTAATGATTGTTAATTATGCAAGCAATATATGTATGTTTTAACTATTACTGTGTGTTTAATGAACTTTGTATGATTTTTGTTAAAAAATACATTTTAGTACAATATTGAAAAGAAAATTATTTATAAAAAATTTAAATATTTTCTTGTCATTAGCTGTATGCATAACAAACATAAGATTAAAGAATTGTTGAACTATCAAAAGAAAAATTTCAATTCCTTGTTACTGTTAACAAATTGGTGGTATGTAAGTAATAAGAACTGTATGTTATCTTGTGCAGTGTTTTAAGGGTCATGAAAGAGCTGAGAAGTTTGACTTTTCAAGTAATGTACCATATTGAATGAGATTGTGTGTTATGGTCATTTCCATTCATTTGAAATTTGTGGACTTTGCTTACTTAATTCAAGAGTGAAAGATCGCATAGTATTAGAAAGCTTTTGGATAAATTTCATTGTTAAAAAGACAGACAGGAAGTGCAATCTTGTAGTTAATAGAAATGTTTTTAGATCACCACTGTAACCAGTTTTTAATGTTGTTACCATGATTTGTTATTATGGCATCTACCTTTTAAAGGATATTGAATATTGTAACATTTTTCTGGAAACTTCCCAAACCTTGTTTTTTGTAAAATAGTTATTCTTCTTGTAATTTAGACATATGATGTTCATGTACATACCGTATGTTATTACTTTTTTTACAAATATATACAAAATTCATAATCTCACACTATTTTTTATGAATCATGATGTATTTATAGTATGCTTGTATTTTTCAGTCCCACTCATCAGAGAAATGAGATCACGTTGGCTGACTCCAAACTCCTTCTCACCAATCCTGTAGAAGTTTAATATTTCAGTGAAGAATCCATGAGATTATTAATATTGTTAACTGGATTTTTGATGTTTCAACCTAAGCACTTTTAATATTGATTCCAGGTCAGAAGTTAAAAACATTTTGAATTTGAAATATTTTATTTTAATCATTTATAGGAAGGAAGAAATATTCACTATTACCAAATATTTTTATTTCTTAGAATATTTCATCTTTTGATCTCTGATCTAATGAAAAACCATTTTTAAGGTTTTCCAAGATTTGCAGAGATATAATCTGTCAACAGTTTTTGCATAAAAATCTCTACATTGAATTAAAAGGAAACTTGATGCTGTTTAACAAAACTTCTTTATTAACTTTTAATCTCTTTATACCATTAATGTTGCAAAAATACCACAACTGTACCAAAATAGTAATTTGTAGTCAAAATCAACCCATTATGAAGATGATAGCTAAAAGTGAAAGAAAATGAAGTTTGTATATTGAAAAAGAAAGTTTCAATGTTTACAAATTACTATTAGAGTGAGACTTGTTTTATTCTAAAGTGTCAGTGATGTAATTTTAACAAACGTTGTCACTTCTAGAAATCTTTTGGCTACTGATAATAGAGATAGGAAATATAATTAAAACAGATTTAGTCGTAAAAAAGGAAGGAAGTTTACAATATTTTGGGATGTTATCACTTAAGAATATTCACAAGATAATTTCAGTTACAAATGTATGAGAGTGGCTTGTTTTGACTGAGTATTTCTACCATGTAATATATTTTAAATAGAGAATAGTATAAAAAGTAATCACATGTTTAGGCTTCTAGATTAATTAATAAATTTATGAAATGTATGTACATCTCAAGCATGGTAAAATGAAAGGATGGTATTTTTTGTACAATAATTATGAATATGTGTAATTATGGAAACTACAACTTACAGTTGAACCACACTGATAAAGAGACAAAGTTTTTGGATATCAAGGACAGTCTACTTCTTTGAATTTAAGTTTTTGTCACAATGAAATAATAGCTTGAAGTATTAATCATACTCTTATACAATAAAACTATACAATTTTTTAAGTAGAATTACTTGACATACAATATTACTTTTTATAGTTTTTTATTTTAAAAAATAGTGCATCAATATGTTTGAATAATGTTGTTAAAAAGTATTACTAAATGTATTATTAGTATAGGTTTGTTTTCCAAACATTATTTGTCTCACTTTTGTTTTTTGGGTTGTGGCACATGTCAGTGCATCCTACATGTTTTTCATTAATCATTGCAACTGTCTAGTAGAAATGTGTAGTGTTTTTTTGCCATGGTCATATGTTGCTACCATACTTTGTTTCCTTACAACATATTAGTTTTAATAAGTACTTTTGTGGGAGTGTTAATTTAAACTTTCAGATGCAACTTCCTTTTTATGCATGTTTCTTGTGTCATCAGGACATTGAAACATGGCAAGGCAATTTTGAATTAATCCTATTTCCAGAGAAAAGTTATGGTCTGGTATAACTAATGCTTTTTCAATAGAATATTGAACTCTTTCATATTACCTGAGAAATAATTAATGGCAGAAATTAGGCTAATTTTTGTGAATGTATTATTAAATAGTACGTAAAGTGAGTTTTAAAGACACTTTCTTCATTCAATTATTATTATTATTGTTTTTACTCAGATTTTTCTATTAAATGCAAGGTTCACAAAAATCTAAAAACATTTAAGGTAGTAGGTTGTAATACAAAACCTTGACTTTGATAGCCAGTTGGAACAGTGTATAGCATTATTTTTTCTCTGAGATACATACAAAATGAAATATTCCAGTAAGAAGTGGGAATGACGTTGTCCTCAAAATAAAAAGTTGTTATAGGCAAATACTGTTTAATAGTTCTTGATGCATGTGTGGATATCTTAATTATGTAAAATAACATAGATCAATGTGAGCATCTTAATACTGCTTAGTAGTTGTTGATACATGGGTATCTTGACTATGGGTAATAATATAGACCAGTGTGGACATCTTACTGTTGGTGTGAATGTGCTTTGTGTGTAACAACTGATCAGTGTGGGAATCTTGTGTGTAATAACATATATCAGTGGAGGCATCTTACTGTGTATAATGACATAGATCAGTGTAGGCATCTTACTTAATGTGTATAATGACATAGATCAGTGTAGGCATCTTACTTAATGTGTATAATGACATATATCAGTGTAGGCAGCTTACTTAATGTGTATAATGACATAGATCAGTGTAGGCATCTTACTTAACATATATCAGTGTGGGCAGCTTATTATGTATAATAACATATATTAGTGTAGGCATCTTACTGTGTATAATGACATAGATCATTTTAGGCGTCTTACTTAACATGTATATTAGTGTAGGCATCTTACTTAATGTGTATAATGACATAGATCAGTGTAGGCATCTTACTTAACATATATCAGTGTGGGCAGCTTATTATGTATAATAACATATATCAGTGTAGGCAGCTTACTTAATGTGTATAATGACATAGATCAGTGTAGGCAGCTTACTTAACATATATCAGTGTGGGCAGCTTACTGTGTGTAATAACACAGATCAGTGTAGCACTTTATTATGTGTAATGACATAGCTAAGTGTAGGTAGACTATGTTATTACACAGTAAGCTGCTCACATTTATATATGCTATTACACATAGTAAGGTATCCACGCTGATCTATATTATTACACATAGTAAAATACCTACACTGAAGTATGTCATTTATACACATTAAAATATCCATACTGATCTATGTTATTACACACAGTAAGCTGCCGCCCACACTGATCTATGTTATTACACACATTAAAATATCCATACTGATCTACGTTATTACACACAGTAAGCTGCCGCCCACACTGATCTATGTTATTACACACAGTATGATAGTATGGGTATCTTATTATGGTAATAGCAGATATAAGTAAAATAATTTAGAATCAAGTGTTTATTTAAATGTTATTAAACCAAAAATAAAGTGGTTAGCAAACATTGGGTAACAAACTGTTTAATGGGAGTATATTTACTGAATACAGTAAGGAAAATGAGCTAATTTAAAGTAACTTCCTAGCACAAGAACGTATGATTAAAAATAAAGTGGTTAGCAAACATTGGGTAACAAACTGTTTAATGGGAGTATATTTACTGAATACAGTAAGGAAAATGAGCTAATTTAAAGTAACTTCCTAGCACAAGAACGTATAATTAAATATAAAGTGGTTAGCAAACATTGGGTAACAAACTGTTTAATGGGAGTATATTTACTGAATACAGTAAGGAAAATGAGCTAATTTAAAGTAACTTCCTAGCACAAGAACGTATGATTAAAAATAAAGTGGTTAGCAAACATTGGGTAACAAACTGTTTAATGGGAGTATATTTACTGAATACAGTAAGGAAAATGAGCTAATTTAAAGTAACTTCCTAGCACAAGAACGTATGATTAAAAGAATTATAGTGAAAAAGTGTTATTGTTTTTTTTGAATTCATCTGGCATGTATCAGCATGAGGTCTCGAGGCATAATCTTCCTAAGAAATAGAAGATTATTATTAGTGTGTGCTATTTACTGACAAGGTCAGTAGCTGCGTAGACATAATGAAAACATATTTCATTATGAGTAACAAATGTCTTTAGAAGTTACATCTATGAGTAGAGTGTTTCATTGAAGGAGTTTTTTTTAAATTTATTATAGAGAAAACAGTGCTTAAGTGGTAGAGTGTAGAAATAAATAATTGAGGTAGACATGAACCTTAAGATATTGAGAATCTAATAAATCTTCTATTCCTGATTGTATATTATTGGAATGTTTTGGATCACATGGTATATTATTGTAAAAGTTTGGCCCTTTCAAAAATATCTTGTGTTGAAAGCTGTATCATAGTATTACAAATGAAATTAAACAGTTTGTATATATGTAATTTAGAAAAAGCTAATCTTTTCATAGTGTTTATTTAATTCAGTGTATGATTAGGAGTGTAAGTAATGTCTAATTTTAAATCTTAATATATCACTTTTCTAGTAAACATAGATTTTGCCTTGTATCATGAAATAAATTAGTCTCTGATAGAATGTTAAGATGTGTTGCTTGTAAACATTTTCTTCTCTTTAAAATTTTCTGGATATTTTATGTGAACAGTAAGACTTTGTTTATTTATTTGTGTAATTTGGTGAACATGATTTTTATGGTGAATGATTATTTCGACTAACTTTGTGATAGTGATTCTGTCAGATTTATATAGTACACACGTGAATACTGAGATAGTGATATTATCAGCTTCTTACGTAAATACTAAACCACATGGTTTTATGGTATCGTGAAAATTTCTTGTCACATAATTAAGAGATGTTCTTGTGTCACATAATTAACAGATGCACTGCATTTTTAGCATGATGTGAGTTATTTTTTGGTATTGTGTATGAGCACTGTGATAAATCAGTAACTGAAAAATAATATAAAATACTGATGTGTCTGTGTGCAATTTTTGAACATAATTTTAAAATTCCTTGGCACTTGTGTAATATTCAATATTAAAAACAACAATTATTTTATACACAATTCTAAAAATGAGATTGTTTCCAGTCTCAAAATTACAATAAAATTCAAATAACTTACTGTGCAGGATAGAAAGTAGTTAAAAACCAGATGAAACTGGAAAACAGTCTCATACACTCTACATGTTTCGACATATATCACTGCATCATCCACAGAAGTGTAATGTTTTGCAAAAAATTAACACTTATTTATACAATTACCAGATCACCAATATACATATTAAAAGAATTTCATGCCATCTACTGACAACATTTCCATCAAGACAAAAACCTGAAGTGTAGATAAGGTTGTCAATGACACATTTTTGATTTGGTGGTATGGTAAAGATGAAAACTAGCTAATTTGGCTAATTACCTTAATAACATTGATAATTCCATAAGATTTAATTATAAAGTTGAGACAAATGGTTGTTTACGTTTTTTTTTTTTTTGGTAAGCAATCTCATTTTTAGATTTTGTATAAAATAATCATTGTTTTTAAAAAATTGCAAGTTTTTAATAATTTGAAAGCTTCAAAACTAAGTTGAGTCAATAGGTTTGAAATCATCTCATTATTTATAGTTTGTGATATTTTATTTGGATTTCTATTTTTGACTTTGTATCTATTTATTTATAAATAAAGTCTTTATTTCAGGTGAAAGTTTGTTTTGGATTCATAGTGACTACAGTTTAATCAGTAGCCTTACAACAATAAAAAGTGATTTATAAATATATTTCAAGCATAAAGAAATAAGTAACTAAAGGATGTCAGATTTAAACAAAATACCTTTTTTTATTTGAAGACCACCCTTTTATTGGTGATCAAATTGTGCAAAGTCTATTACTAATATAAATAAAAACTGTATCTTCTATCCTAGATAAACACTACTGTTTTCTAGTTATTCCTCCAATTTGAAAACAAAGATGTTATTACATAAATGATATAAGTGAATTAAAGACTAAGTTCAGGTTAAAATAAAAAACAGTTTTTGGGTTGAATTAAATTCAGGTTTTCATTTTTGAGCTGAAAAATAATAAAATGGAATCTAGTTTTATTCCAACATGTGGAAAAATAATAAGTAGCTTCTACTTTAAAGATGTCCTGGTGGTATTTTGTTGTAATCAAAATATAATTCTAAGTATATATTTTTTCAGATAGTTGCTAAAAACTACTTGCAGGTTATCAGCGCTAGCAGACCCTAACTTTAACTAAGACTAGAGGAAAGGCAGCTAGTCAACAGAATCCACTGCTAATTTTTGTGCAACGGCTGAATATTAGGATGTGATAGTCAACCTTATAACACACCCACAGCCACAAAATGCTTAGTGCAATTTTGTTTTCTGTAATG